TCAGCCTCACACCCTCTCTGAGTGTCACTCCAGTCCCCTGCTCTGGATATCCTGATGATGATACATTTTCTGCTTCCTGACCTGTGCTCCCTGCCTGATCTGCTGGTCAGGGATCCTAGTAGAGATGATATCTTTTATTAGACCAGCAAGATTTTTGCAAAAAAAATTTAATTGCAAGCTTTTGGGCACAAACACCCTTCACCAGGCATCAGAGAAAAGATTGTAAAAATTCTCCTGGGTGGAAATGGAAGTTCATATTTCATAGGATTTCACAGAGGAGTCAATAGATGGAAAACTCCTCTGGGCAGGCAGTTTGTAAGCTTTCAATTAAAGAGGATTTTTTGCAAAAGTCTTCCTGGTGTAATAAAAGACATCATCTCTACTAAAAACCCCGATTGCTTTTTGCTCTAGACCAATACAGCTATAACCTGGATACCTGACCTGCTGCCCTGCTTTCTGGTTCCCTTCCTTATGTTGCGGTGTGTTCCTTGCCCCCTCTTCAATCTGCTACATGCCACAGGCTGGCCACCCCTGCTCCAGCACATTCAGTTTCCAAAAAGGTGAGTTTCTCAAAGGTTCTATCTATACTTCCTAGATGGGACTGAACTACAAGCAATAGGTTTGATAATCAGAGCTTATAACTGCAAGTTCTCAAAAAAATTAAATTTGTTATTACGTCAACAGACACTAATCAAGCCAGCATCATCTCCTCTGACTGTGCATGCATCATCAATTCTTATATAAGAAAACGTGTGATAGCATATCATTCTGTTACTTGTCTCTTCAGAAGACCCCCGGTCTGCTGTTTTCTGAGGGCATAAGTCAGCAACACTGTGCACATGTCTCTATGGTTCTTCCATATCCCCACTGAGGTACCTGAGCAAGACACAATCTTTAATATTCTTAGCGTACTTACAGTACTTGCCATGATACATGGGGTGACTGACCAACAGACAAGGTGAGTAACTTAAGGTCACAGAGAAAGTCTGTGATAAATCAAGGAACTAAATCAAGGTCTCTCAAACTGGTCCCTTCGTCCCTTTTCTGCTCCTGAATAATATGGGTTCCTAGACAAAAAGGACAAATTATATATGATTTTATATTGTGTTTAACAGGCCCCATGCTTCTGTCAAGTACATGTGATGTCAAAAGAGTTACACCACAGTGAATGGGAGGAGAATCAGGCTTCAGCTTCCAGCCACTAGATCTTGTTCTACCTTTGCTAGATGAAAAGGGCCCCTGTAATTACATATATAATTGTATAGCCAGGTGTACCGCAAATTAAGCCTCATGTCCTACCTAAGTGCCAATTCAACCTCCTTCCCCTACCCTATCTGCTGCCCTGATTTCTGTTCCCTGCCCTGTGCTTCCTACCCAATCTGCCGCTCTGCTTTTTATTCCCTACACAAGCTGTCACTGCTCTGCCTGCCCCCTCTCGTTTCTGCCACGACACGGGTTGACCATCCCGATGTAATTTAGTGTAACCCTTACACTTCTCTTTGACAAACTAAGCAGACTGAGCCTGTCTATCAGGCAACACAAGCATGTTTTTCCATTTATCACTCTCATAGCTGTTCTCTAAACACTTTTCAATTTATTACAGGACAAGGATTTTTATGGCATCTTTTACTTGACTGACTGTATAGTTGGGAGAGCTGCTGGACAAGCTTTCAGGCATCAAATGCCCTTCTCCAGGCCACTCAGCTCTCCCAGCTATGCAGCTGGTTTAATAAAAGATGCCAGAAACCATCTTTGCCTCTCATACATTTCCTGGGACATCACAGCTCCACAGCACTCCAGCCCTACTTCAATTTATCAAAATTCTTCTTGAAGTTTGGATGCCAGAACTGGGCAGAGAATTCTAGCAATGCTCACAGCAGTACCAACTATAGAAAGACTAAAGCTATATAGAACAGGAATAAAGCCCATTTTTTAAAATACACATAAGAATGGAGATCAGCTCCCTTCTGATAGCCACAGAAACTGAAGCCCTTGGCACACGTTCATTTTATGGCACAATGGGATCTGATCCTGGATCCCAAAACGCATGCCTTCTACCATGCCACATGTATGGCAGGGCTCCCCCTGCACTTCCCCTGTCAGTCCCAGAATGGGAATTGACAATCAGCTGACTGCCAGTCCCCACCCCAGGACTGTCCTAGGGTTGGTTCAGGACTCTCTTGCCATCCTAGGACTGCACCAAGTATCAGCCGATTGTTGCTCCCAGCCCTAGGACTGCACTGGAACTGGTTTGAGACTCCCGTGCAGTCCCAGCACTGGGATAGACAAAAGCTGACCATCATTACCCATCCCAGAAGAGTGTTGGGCTGGCTCTGGTTACCCTGCTATACATTCAATTTAAAGCACAATGAAAACCAGCTACGAAGTGTTATGCATCTTCTGTGGAATACTGTTGTGGCTGGTTTCCTGTTGTGCAAGCCATTAATTCTTTACACATGTGGCAGGTTACTATTTATGACAATTAACAGCTTAACTGTGTCTTAATTGTGACGTGTGCCAGGAGCTTAAGAGACCTTAAAACGTATTTGAATGATAGAAGGATTCTACCTTTAGATTTCAATGGACTGCAATCTTGTCAGATAATTACCTCTGAAAGAGATGCATCAACCTTGGAAGGCACTTTTAGGTCCAGCCATGGCTGGTAGTTTTCCAGAACCAGAGCAGGTCTGTAAAATACAGAATACAGAAAAGAGTTAACATAACACTTAAGAAAAAATTCTACCAGCAAGATATAAAATGCAACAAATGTTAAGATAAGAAATGCCACACTATTTGACTTACCTGTGCCTCTTGCATTTGACCTTGCCACATACTGCACAGCTGTGACCTTGGGGAAACAGTTCCTGCAGTTCCAACTGCTAAAAGAGAAAGGATTTAATAAGAAGTTTTTCTTTCTTCATCATACCCGCTACCTCACTGCACTTATGAATTAGCCAATTTGCTTTTACTGTATGCAATACAATTGATCAGCATTAAATATCACCCCCCCACCCCCACCACAAACACAACTTAGCAAAGTACTAAAGGATAAACAACTGAGTTTAATTAAAGGATTACTTGGGCTGCTAGCAGACACGAAAAGCAAAACAAAACACACCGCTTTACTTAAAACTCACCACACTCCTGCACTGAGCCCACCCCATGCTGGGGGTCCAGACAGGTGGCAGAAAGCACTAGGAGCAGGGGTATGCCCTCCTAGAGATGTGAAGGCCCAGAAAAAATAAAACACAAAAAAGTTCCCCCCCCCCGGAATTTTTTTTTTTCCTGTGAAATTTTTTTTTTAAAAATTAAAAAGAAAAAACTCCTATGAAATACTTTCTTTTAGAATGATGATTCTAGGCCTTTGACACCGTCTCCCACCCCATCCTCATTAAAAAACTAGGTGACTGTGGCATTGATGCCTACACAATCAGATGGATTGCATATTGGCTCAAGAGAGTCATACTCAGAGGGTGGTGGTGGTGGACGGGTCATATTCAACCTGGGGGGAAGTGGGCAGCGGCATCCCCCAGAGCTCAGTCCTTGGGCCTGTGCTGTTCAATTTCTTCATCAGTGATTTGGATGATGGGGTGAAAAGCAACCTGTTTAAATTCGCTGATGATACCAAAATTTGGGGTGAGGCGAGCACGCTAGTAGGGAGGGAAAGATTGCAGCAAGATCTGGATAGGTTACAGGAGTGGGCTAACATAAACAGGATGCGTTTCAATACTGACAAGTGCAGGGTGCTGACCCTTGGGCAGTAGTAACCAGCACACACTTATAAGATGGGAAACTCCCTTCTTGAGAGCACGGAGGCAGAAAGGGAT